GTGGCCCCTGTGGTGTCACAACACCAGCAAGAAAAAAAAAAGTAAATGATGCACTTTAGAACTTTATGTTTTACATTTAACCCAATGTACTAAAAAAAAGTTCACATATATTTTTTTCCATAGTCAGGGTCTGTAAAATTGGAGTAAACGCCGCGGCATTTATATTCTGACTCTTTAGTCTAGTTGGAACCAGTGTTAACTGTAATGACAACTTCCTGTTTTTGAAGAGATTGTACTCAAATCTACCATGAGATGATATACAAAATGTCAATAAACACTATAAATAAATAAATACATAAATAGACATAAACTCATAGGGCGAAGAAAACTCAATGATATTAAAGCGACGGAGCGCAGACGAGCAGAGGCACGTTGACGCGGTAGAGGTGTCGTCTTCGACTTCTTCTTCTTCTTCCTCCTCTATTTACACAGACTCCGACAGCCCTGCACACGCTCAACAGGTTTGTGGCGCACACATAATCGACAGTATCTACAGTATGTATGTGCATATCTAAACACAGATCAGGACATTTCGAATCAGATTACCAGAACACTGCACATGTTTCTACTGCTGCTGGTGTTATGACACCACAGTGGCACCTGTGGTGTCACAACATCAGCAAGAAAAAAAAAAGTAAATGATGCACTTTAGAACTTTATGTTTTACATTTAACCCAATGTACTAAAAAAAAGTTCACATATATTTTTTTCCATAGTCAGGGTCTGTAAAACTGGAGCATACGCCGCGGCTTTATTTCAGTGAAATACAGTATTTTTATTCCAACGAAGTTAAAAAACGACCCACGCTCCAGTGTGCAGCGTGTGTTCTACACAGACCTTGAAGACGTGGAAGGCCTCAAACTGGATGTTTCGGCTCTTGTCTCTGAGCAGGTTCATCATCAGCTTCAGGTTCTCGGCTCGGCTGATGTACTTTGTCATGACAGTGAAGTTGTGTCTGTCCAGGAGCAGTTCTCCGAGCAGCTGGAAAACAGCAAAAACAAACAAACAAAAAACAAACAAGTGTGAGCTACTAACTGGTCTGTGTGGTTTCACGTCAAGTTTATCTTTTTCTGATCTGACAGAGGAGGAGAGCTTTTCACCTTCAGTGACTGTCGTTTGGTAACGTAGTTGTCAGAGTGCAGGAGCTTCTCGTACTCCGTGAAGACCTGACGGAACACCGTTAGAGGAACGTTAGTCACGGCACCAGTGAGTCTTTGGTTAAAGATCAGATAATAAAAAAGAGAAAACCCTGTCACCCTGTCGTAGTTGTTCTCCAGAAAATCGGCGCACATGATCTTGTGTCTGGTGAGGAGATCCTGGGAGAGGACACACGGGACCCATTAAATCAAAACAAACATGTGACGTGTGTGAGTTTGACATTTGTGTCTTCTTCTCTAAGATCGTAAGCAGCGATTAGGATGTGATCGTTCCTGTTTACCTTGAACGAGGCGAAAGCGTCCGAGGCGATGTCGAAGGTGGAGAGCTCCACGTAATGGAAGAAACAGTAGAAATCTTCTGAGATCAGCACTATCTTCGCCAGAGGCTCGTGACGCAGGCATTCCCTCAGCATCATCCCGCAGTTCAGCGCCACCTCTGCACTTTCATATCTGTTAGCAACACAGGTCCAGGTCAACTGTGAGACTTTACATTAGCTGTAAAGCCACTCTGAAAAGGCTGCATCGGCAATATCTGATATGTAATATGTAATATTGATTTGTTTATCTGTACAAACTACTGTATTGAGTTCTTAATAAAAATGAGCTGCAATGCTGCCATCTAGTGACTTTCACTTTTCCCAATGTATTTTCAGGACACATCACTTGGTGAAACCAGGGCCTTATCGGGTTTTCATTACTGGAGGAAAATCCAATAACGATTCTTAAGGATATTACACAATTATGCTAATATCGGGCTAATGAAATTGGTCGGCTGATAGTATCGGACATCCCTAAAAATAAAAACCCTTCAATGTCTAATAATGTTTGGAGTGTTTTTAGCCCAGACACACATTCGACTGTTGAGTCTTATTTCCACACAGTGCTTCCTTTGGTGTGTCTGAAAATAGTCATCCAAATGTGGACAATCTGCCACACAGCTCTACAGACGTCACATGGAAGAAAAAAACAAATCCAACACACCAGGGTTTAATGTCAGGCCTTGACAATAACACATGTAATTGACGTGACATTCGAGGGGAAAATACAGTTTTAAATCACAGCACAGAAACCCATCGTCGACGCAGCCACTCACGATCCTGTGAGCTGAAGAAGGCTGTCTGAACAGAACAGAATGCAGCACGCTCAAGGGGATGAGTCAGGTTTTTTTTTTTTTGGGCAATAAAACCAGCACTGAACTATCACTGTCTTCATCTAAATATGTAACCCACATGTGAATGCAACAAGTTCACGCTTGTATCCCTGGGAGTTGTTGAAACACATACTCGGCAAAGCAGGAGCCGAGGGAAAAGTCAGTCGTTTGGCTTGGTTTTTTTTTTTAACGTACTATTCTGGTGACATTAAAACAATGCCATCACAAATAAAGTATTCACAGCCAGTATCAGATTACTGAGAGAGACCGAGAGGAGTTCCTGTTAGATTAAAAAGTTGAACTTACCCTTTCAGAAGCATGAAGAGGATCTCTGGGTGCGTGGAGATGTACTCCACTGTGGGCGTGCGCGTGCCAATCTGACGTCGGACGATATTGCTAAACAAGTGAACCACATACTTCTTCCCCTGTAACAAAGCACTGATAAATATCTTGCTGCAGAGACTCTTTGCTCTGAGCACAAATATGTGCACGTAGCACGTGTCCACATGTCTGTGTGAGGTAATCAATCACTTTTGCACGTGTGTATTGATCAGTGAAGTGAAATTATTTGGACCTCACCTCGAAGTCAATCCTCTGCAGGTTTGCGATGAGAGCGATGAGCAGGTTGGTGTTGTACAGCTCCTGAGCCAGCTGAGCCACAGCTTCAGTCTGAGGCTCTTTGTCACCCGTACCACACAGGACCTCCTTCAGTGAGGCCAGGTTTTTGGACACCTCCTCTGCAACCTTAAATATGGAGAAATCAATTGACTACTATGAACGAGGAGTGCTTTTTTAAGGAGCAGCGATAGACTGATAGCTGAGTCAATGTTTGTTCAGCCATAAATATTAATTTACGCTTCAACTAAATGTTCACCAACACTCAACACACAACTGTAATAAAACTTAATTTACAGAAAAATATTTATAGTTTTTTAAAACATAAGCAGTGTTTTATTGAATTAGTTTAATAAAATAAGATTTATTTAAAAACCTATATATAATTTTGATTATGTATTTGAGGTAAACAATCTTGTTTTCCTGACCAATTAAAAAAAAGTTTCCTTTAAAAATAATATGGAAGCAAGAAACTTAAGATGAAGAAACCATGCAGAATGTTTTGCATTAATAAAGAGCAAGTGGCGCCCCCTATTCTTTTGAATAAAGGGTGCAACAATCCCACATTGAATGCTTTGACTTAAGGTGCTTTAATGATCTCACAGGCAGTAAATATTAATACATGACACTAATTTACTAATTCAAAGCTTTTTTTCCCACAAGAACAACATCTGCTACTAGTAACCTTGACTAGCGGTTACGTAATGGACATAAACAAAACTGACAACAGGCAGATCTCAGTGACAGGGTCTCTACGGCAGGACGGTCTATCCTGTCTATCCTGTCAAACTTTATATTCTACTGACATCAAACACAATTTGACAGCCAATCACAACCCTCCCCTCGCTTCTTTTTAGGCTTAAAATGGCAGATCTACAAACTTTGAGTTGAATTACTGCCACCTGGTGAGTCTATTTCATATAAATCTAAAGCTAAATTATAGCTAAAATAAAAAAAAGACCATTTACACATTCAGGGAAGTGTTCCTTCAGATATCAACTTGCCACCATACACACAATGTTTGGTTTATTCTTTATAAAGGCTTATTCTTTAACTTAGTTACTTAGTTTTATTAAGACTAATATAAAGAATAAAAATATATTCACGGTAGATTAGTGGCAGCTTCTCTAAAGAAGACCAACTCCTGTCACGACAAGGATTTATTTCTTTATGTTTTTGGCAAGTGGACACATCAGTGTAATCAGTCAATTCATAGTACGGCACATCTGGAATCTGGATGGGTGTCACCTCTTTCTTACGTAATATTTTGATATAGAATATTAATAATAACAACAAGCAAAAAACATAGATATTATGAGGAAACCAGTGACTAACCTTTTCACACTTTTTGCTGTCTGCAGAATCCAGCTTTTCCATGTATGCGACATTCTCCTTCAAGCTCCTGACTATTTCAGCCGGACTCTTCTGAGACTTCCCAAAAGGAAAAGGCATGGCTGTGGTGTGGTGTGATGTGGTGATGTTTATCCAAGCTCTGATCTGTGATGAAATAAAACAGTTTCAACACAGGCTAGCATGTGCAAGGGACGCGGCTCCACTTCCTGTACCTCCGTGCATCAAGAAATGGCTGAAACAAGTCTCACCTGAAGAAAGCGAAGGCACACACGTTATTTCCACTGAGTGTAACTCGAGACTCTGGTGTAAAACGATGTATTACACCTTTAAAGAGTCCATCGTCGCACACTGCTAGCTACTGTTGCTAAACTTCCGAGCCGTCGTCGATAACGACGACAAATTGACGCTTAAATAACTTTAGTTTGAATTGAACTTCAAACTGACACAGAGATACGAAACGCTGAATCTGTGACGGAACCGACAGCAAAAATGTCAACCCAGGAGCGGTTCCTCCGCAAACTTCTGTTAGCATGCGACCTAGTTTACCGTCGATAAAATCAGTCAAACGAATATCTGTGTGGATACAGTGAACACGAAAATAGAACAGCGAAAGATCGAAGCCGGTCTGTCGGCACTCACCAAATGAACTCTGCTTTTTCAGGCTGAAGGAGGCTCCGTGGCTAAAGGTGAGCTAACAGGCTAACTTGTTTCCACTTTCCACTCTTCTTTCTCCGCAGCGTTTACTCCGAACTGCCCGTAACGTTGTGTGTTGCCGTAGCCGTGTATCCCGTACTAAACGTGGCAACCGACTGCAGACAGGACGACCTTCATAGCTGTGGTATTCAGTGAAAAACCTCTCCGCTCGTCACCAACTGTCACCTAACTTGCTAGCTGTGTTTGTGGTGAGGAGTGAGTGTGTGCGGGGCTTTTTTTTTTCTGGCCTGTCTGACAACTTCATTTCCCTGTTCTCTCCTCCTCAAACTCCTCTTTATGTCACTGCCCTCGCTGCGCTGCCGCTGGGCGGGTATGTTTGTTCTCCGCTCATTGACTGACACACAAATATAACCAATCACTTTCACGTACGGAGCATTTATGCGGTAACGCCCTCTGAATTGTGGGTGAGTATGTTTTAAACTCTTGTACACTCCGCCTGAGTGGATAGAACAGCGGCAAAGACAAAACGTGAACACTACTTCAACGGGCAACCGCGTAATACAAAACAAGTGAATCCTTAGAAATGAAAAAAGAAACGTTTGTTGCTTTGTGTATTATGGCAAATATATTGTGTTAGTGATTAATTCTTCGTTATGTTATTACGATAATATATGCAATATTCCATATAAATCAAATGAAATTAATCTTCATAGTACTTTTTATTGTATTAAAACAATATTTGTTCTGTTATAAATAATAAAGTACCTGATGTTTCTCAACGGAGTTTCCTTGTCTTCCCAGTGTACGTAAGTTTTGTATGAGTGGACCTATAACCTATAAAACTGATATGCATAAACATGTATTATGTTTGATAATGAAAGTATAATATGTTTATATAGTTATCTTCTAGAAATCTACCCTCTGCTTTTGATGTTTGATTTGAGTAAACATATAAAATGAATATTCACAGTCATTTATATTGTGTCTCTGTAATTATATGTGTTCCTGTATTTTTGCGGTAGAGAGCTTTCTTCTGCTTGTATTTTATTTTCTTTCTGTGATGAATTATCCACTATATAATTGTAACATTCTGTATGTTGTGTCCTTCCTTTCACAGGGTATGTGTGTTTTGTCCAAGTGGTCATATAAAATAAATATTCCTAGTCTTTTGTAATGTGTTTCAGTTGGTATATGTGTTCTTGTGGTAATCTATAGAAAAGCTACTGTACCTTCTCTCTCTTATTTTTCCATTATTTTTTTAAATTTCAGTAACAAATTATGGGCAACCCAGTGTATAAGTGGTTATTGTTTATGCCTAACAATGCTATAAATGATAAGTAACTTCTGGGTGGAAATACTTACAACCAGGAAATACTGATATTATAGGGGAACACTTTACTAGATTTTTGGTATTGTTGTGGATTGTGAGATTTCTTTTTTAAATTAAAAACAATGATTAATAAATATTCCTAATATTTGTGTACCTATGACTATTCTTTTGACTACGTGGCCGCGAAGTGAAGTCATTTTCTAGGATAACGATACTTGAAAATCGAATTTATGCATTTTTGTAACGCACTTTCGTTTCCAATTCAAACTCTTTGTGTCATCCGCTCGAGCCCTTTCACATTTAAAACCGCGAAATGTATGCTGCCCGAGATGCTCTTATTTTGAAAGGCAGAAACGGAACACAGTCTAGTTGGTAGCTCAAAGTAGCTTGCTTGATTCCAAGTGTAAAAAGCACACGGTCGCTTCTGAAGGACGGAAAGAAGCAGGAGTCTCTGCCCGGGACAACTTTACATCTTTTGTGTCTTATCGGCTCCCGAGGGTGGATATCAGTAGGTAAGGGGTCAGCTGTGAGTCCTCGACGGCCTGTCGGAAGCTCCGAGCTCCGGCCTGTGGTCGCTTCAGGCCGTGGTGCTTGTCGTATAAACGGAGCTGCTCTCTTTCACGGGGATACATCACGTATGGCGCTCTTTACTTCGAAACGGTTTGCAGAGACCCGCGCCTGTCATGATCGTTTCCCTGATTTAAAGGGAAATATTCGCCCGTGTTTTTACTTGTCCCAGCTTCAACATAAATCAAATATAAAAAAAATCCTCCTAGCGACCATTATTCCTCCAAACCAAAGGGCCTTAGCAGAGGTTTGGTGGCGCTAAGATGTTCTTGTTTGAGGCTGTAGTCAGTCGGAGGTAGTTTGGTGGAGAAAAGAAGACACACACCCCCTTTAATTCAAAACTTTTCCAGGCACATATGCACAAGACTTTGTAGAAAGCTCCCAGATCTGGACACACGCGAGGCTGAACGTCGCCATGCCGCTCAGGGGACACGGAACAGGGGAGCAGTGGGTGAAGATGCGAGGCAGAAATGGAGTATTTGTGCAGATATTACACGGATAGTACTGCATCTGTGTGTGTTGGTGGTGGTGAGTGTGTACATGGAGAGAGTGTCGGCGGCGGCGGCGCTGCAGTCGAAGCCTGGCCCTGTGATCATGGCTGTACTGGCTCTGACAAGGCGTCACAGCAGCAGGAGCTGACTGCTGCCGTGATCACAAAAGAGGGGGAAATACACAGATTTTTACAGAGTTATATATATATTTTTAAATATCTTTGGTTATTTTTCATACAGTCTAAGATAAGTGGTGGCAGTCAGATCATCTCCCACAAGGACACTTCATTTACGTTAGTTCTTTTTTTTTTTGCAAGAACACAGTGATGGTTTCATCATCAGTCCTGATGTTTTTATTTGTAACAATAATGTGAATTGTACATCAAACACAGCTGAAGCTAATGCGTTAGCATTGTGACTATTTATCAGTCAACCGTGTGTGGTGTGATGTCCTCACCAGAGCTGCACAGGTAAAAAACAAAAAAACATTAAAAATCCTTCAGTCAACATTTATTTTTACACAAAAAAAACCATCAAATTTCTCAGATAGAAACAGACAATTGTTCAAATGTCTGTTTTCAGTTAAACATTAGACAAGACCTGGTTGTGTACTTTCAATTTTATCATTTCCTGTTTAGTCATGTTTGGTCGAAAATGATTGTTAAACAGGAGATTATTTGAAAAGATAACATTCAGTTTGGATCTGGTGTGAATGGATGATTTTTGTAGTGGTCTGACTACATTTTAGTGATTTTTTTTTCCATTTTATTTTCCTTTATATAAAACTATTTTTTCAGTTTCTTTACTCCTGTTTGAAGTTTGGACTAAATCTGAATTTCTTTCTTTGATTATTGGAATTGTGGATTAAATGAGAAACTCATCATTTGAAGGAAACCTAGAACAAATCCACAATTTCCTTCATTTATTGGACCAAATAATTGGCAAATACAACTTGTTTTTTTTTTTTTTGTCTCATTAGGGCCAAATGTCAAACTTTTCAGATCCCAGTTTCTCTTTGTTTGTGTCCTCCACCATTTTGGAGAGAGGGTCGGCGGCGGCGGCGCTGCAGTCGAAGCCTGGCCCTGTGATCATGGCTGTACTGGCTCTGACAAGGCGTCACAGCAGCAGGAGCTGACTGCTGCCGTGATCACAAAAGAGGGGGAAATACACAGATTTTTACAGAGTTATATATATTTTTTAAAATATCTTTGGTTATTTTTCATACAGTCTAAGATAAGTGGTGGCAGTCAGATCATCTCCCACAAGGGCACTTCATTTACGTTAGTTCTTTTTTTTTGCAAGAACACAGTGATGGTTTCATCATCAGTCCTGATGTTTTTATTTGTAACAATAATGTGAATTGTACATCAAACACAGCTGAAGCTAATGCGTTAGCATTGTGACTATTTATCAGTCAACCGTGTGTGGTGTGATGTCCTCACCAGAGCTGCACAGGTAAAAAACATTAAAAATCCTTCAGTCAACATTTATTTTTACACAAAAAAAACCATCAAATTTCTCAGATAGAAACAGACAATTGTTCAAATGTCTGTTTTCAGTTAAACATTAGACAAGACCTGGTTGTGTACTTTCAATTTTATCATTTCCTGTTTAGTCATGTTTGGTCGAAAATGATTGTTAAACAGGAGATTATTTGAAAAGATAACATTCAGTTTGGATCTGGTGTGAATGGATGATGTTTGTAGTGGTCTGACTACATTTTAGTGATTTTTTTTCCATTTTATTTTCCTTTATATAAAACTATTTTTTCAGTTTCTTTACTCCTGTTTGAAGTTTGGACTAAATCTGAATTTCTTTCTTTGATTATTGGAATTGTGGATTAAATGAGAAACTCATCATTTGAAGGAAACCTAGAACAAATCCACAATTTCCTTCATTTATTGGACCAAATAATTGGCAAATACAACTTGTTTTTTTTTTTTTTGTCTCATTAGGGCCAAATGTCAGACTTTTCAGATCCCAGTTTCTCTTTGTTTGTGTCCTCCACCATTTTACTGATATTTTTTTCATTTTCCCATTTCAGACAAACAACGACAACAACAACAACCAAAGTCTCTGGCCATGTCTGGACAGAAGAGAGGAGCCGCCCGGCTGCTTAAATGTGCCTTCTGCAGAACCAACCGGGACAAGGAGTGTGGCCAGTTACTGATGTCAGACAGCCAGAAGGTGGCAGCTCACCACAAGTGCATGGTGAGGGGAGAACACGCATCAACCACTGTTCTTTAGAATGTGGTTTAATCTGTTCAATCTGTGACAGAGTGAGAATATTAGATGATGATGTGATTTTTTTTTTTAAATTAATTATTTATTTATTTTTACATAAATGAAACAATTGGTTTAACACCAGAGAAATGAATGATATACTATATGTAGTACATGTATATGTAGTAGTACACATTTTTAGTCTGCACGTGTGTTTCTGTGTGCGGTTTCACATTCAAACACCACTGAATGTTTGAAGTTTATTTTAATTTTCAGCTGTTTTCCTCCGCCCTGGTCACTTCTCACTCAGACAGCGACAACATTGGAGGGTTTTCATTGGAGGATGTGAAGAAGGAGATCAAGAGAGGAAATAAACTGGTGAGTAGAGATAGTCGTAGGAAAAAGACATTTAAATGTATGTTCATTCAGTGAACTAGTCAAAGTAAGTAATTTTGTGAGCACTTAAATTTTCAAATAGGGCGTAAAATAAAGAATTATTGGATTGTAAATTTGTCCCGTGATTGTTAAATATCAGCCGATCTGATTAATGCATGTCACATTATTTACTGCGCTGTAATTTGTGACTGTAACTGTGATGCAAGGTCATACATTTTGGTCTAAAATCCATCTAAATAAATAAAAATAGATATAAAACCCGACAGACAAATGACAACCTCAGGACTGTTGTCCCTTCTTCTTCAGATGTGTTCTACGTGTCATCGGCCGGGCGCCACCATCGGATGTGACGTGAAGACGTGTCGGAGGACGTATCACTACTACTGCGCTCTGAAGGACAAAGCTCAGATCAAAGAGGACCAATCACAGGGCATTTACCTGTAAGTTCATTTCACGTGCACCTCTATGTTTTTAAAGAAACCACCATGAAGTTGAAAATTTATGGGTTTTTTAAAAAAAAATTTCACGTGTGTTTGTAGAGTTTACTGTCGCAAACACAGAGATGCCTCCCAAGACGACATTCAAGGTACAGTTCATGTCACACACCAGGTTTCATTCAATTCATTTTTAATGCTATATATAGTTTTTTATTCATACTTTTGGATTGTCAAATCTGTTTAAAGTTCTAAAATAAATAAAATACTGAACTCTACCTTTAACACTGGGAAAGCTGCAGAAGTTGGCGTTTCTGCAGCGTCTGAATTTAGTTCATCAGGTTTTTGTGTTGTTGTGGACAACACTTGGCTGTAGTGCCAACACAAGCAGCATAAGGTCACGGGTTTGAGACACGTTGTGGATGAAGTTCCTTCTGTTGGTCGCATGTTCTCCCTGATTTTTTTTTTTTTTGTTTTTGTTTTTTTTAACCAAACTCTCGGCACATGCAGAAAGGGAACAGGAAGCTTAGGAAAAGCTTGTGGAATGAACACGATCAACATTTCAGTCTAGGACTGATGATGATTTAGCCAGAAATGAAGAATTTGAACAGACTGCAACAGACGTTTTCCTCATTAAAAAAATGTAATTGAAAATATCAACATCCAGCAAAATACAATGACAGATAAAATGCAGGATATGTCTCAAAATAAATTGATTAGAATTGGATTTACTATTGCCTGTAACCAGTACACATTAGTACAGACCATGTGAAGCTCTGGTGGGCCGCATAAAATGATGGGATGGGCCAGATTTGGCCCGCGGGCCTTGAGTTTGACACACATGCTTTATTGCCTATTGCCACAGCGGTGATGCTAATAATGCTAAGCAGAAAGTCTATATAATAAATATAAAATATATAAAATTCTTCCTACTGTTATTCATGCTCGTTGCTTGTTCACAGATGAAGACGAAGGTGTGGCCAACGACTCTGACTCTACTTTGTCACCGCCGCAAAGTAGAGGCAGAGGACGATTCGAGAAGACCAGAGCCAAAGCAGGTTCCCGTGGCCAATCAGAAGAAACCTGCTCCACGTCCTCACAGGCTGCAGATGAAGAGAGCTCCTCTCATGTAAAGACACGTCCTCCACACACACGTACACGTTCATCTGCTGATTTGAACTTTTGTGTTTTCGTGATCGTCCTTTTTTTTGTTCCGTTCTAGCGAGACAGGTCACCTCTTCGTTCCAGCGCCGGAGACGGCGGCCAGCGCTGTGGCTTTTGTCACGCTGGTGAAGAGGAGAACGAAATGCGGGGCATGCTTCACACCGATAACTGCAAAAAAGTTGCCGCTCACTACAAATGCATGGTAAAACTCCAGTGACAGGAGAGTTTCCTGTAGTTTTTTTTTTTTGTATACATTCAGTCGCAGTGATTGTATTCGTATCTTTGTGTGACTTCTTCCTTCAGCTGTTTTCTTCCGGGACAGTCCAGCTGACCACCACCTCACGAGCCGAGTTTGGAAATTTTGACGTAAAAACAGTCATACAGGAAATCAAAAGAGGGAAGAGAATGGTGGGTGTGGTTTTAAAGTACATGTTTAAAAAAATGTGAAGCTTAAAACGAGAATGGTGGGTGTGGTTTTAAAGTACGTGTTTAAAAAATGTGAAGCTTAAAACATATTTAAAAACTGTTTTTTTTTTTGTTTTCCAGAAATGTACTCTGTGCACTCAGTTGGGCGCTACCATTGGCTGTGAAATCAAAGCATGTGTGAAGACCTACCACTATCACTGTGGCCTGCAGGACAAAGCCAAGTACATCGAAAACATGGCGCGTGGCATCTACAAGTGAGCTGCGTTTAAATTCTGTACTAATCACATTAATTCACTCTCTTTTACCGCAGTGGTTACCTGACTTTTTTTTTTATCGTGACCTCATTTTGACATCACACATTTGTTGCATAATATATGTAGAATTTTTTTTTCCAAGCGACCTCTCATGGGGTCACGACCCTAAGATTGAAAAACACTGCTTTATCTATATTTGAAAATAGCATGTTATTATTGCTTTAACTAATTAATTAATGACTATCGTGACAATTGTGGTTTTAAATTTTTATTTAAAAAAAAATTTCAGTCCGTTATTCACTGGTTCTGACTGTGCTGTACAGACAAACTGTGAGTCAAAGGGTGGGGCAGGGAGGAGGGTTGTATTTGGATGGGTGTCTTCATGCATACTATCCAATAAGATCATTTGGGGAGGGGCTAAGATTGCTGCAGCTCACACGTGAACCAGAGCAGGGACAGGAAAAACCAAATTTTTCCGTAATCACCGCAAATTTTCTTGACCGTCCCCTGCAAGTCATCTGAAGTATTTGCAGATTATTTTTGCGAAAACACTGCTTTTTAACAATGTTGTATAACAGAGTAGCAGAGTATTCATTTGTTTGAGTGTTTTTGTATCGTAGGCTCTACTGTAAGAACCACAGTGGAAATGAAGAGAGGGATGAGGAGGACGAGGAGCGAGAGAACCGCAGCAGAGAGAGGGCGGCCAACGACCACAGAGGAACGCCAGCAACACAAGTGAATGGCAACTAGGTGGTGGCAAACAACTTTTTTTTTTTTTTTGTAAAACGTAGTCATTGCCGATATGTGAAATATGAAGATGTGTGAAGTACTTGTGGTTTTCGCAGTTTGCTGAGATGTGACGTTGGCAGAAAAACTGAAGAAACTCAAGGATGGGGGAGATATTTTTTTTTTTATATTTTACTTTAACCTCCTCCCAAAGCCGTGGTCTGGGAGATCTCCACATCATTTCTTCCAGTGAGTGCACACGATGTTAAATCTGCAGCAGACAAACACTCCGCTGAAACCCTGTGGTGGAGTTCTGTTTTCCCCACAGACAGGTGGCGCTGGTGGACGAGTGGCGCAGCGTCCAGGAGATCAATCACTGATTCATTTTGAACATTTGTACGTGTATCATTTTCATGAATAAGAGCCGACATTCACTGGTCCGTCAGCTCCGCTGTCCTCACACTTGACACCGTCTCCTCCTCCCCCCGTAGCTTCTGAAGGACCCACTTTTAAGAGGGGTCCGTTTGTTACTCGTCTCCCCTTGAAGTTATGCTCTTTGATTACTCTGTTTCTGTAGTCGTGTCTTAAGAAAAAAACAGTATGCTTTCCATGTTAGCCTTTCTTGATATGTAATATTTTGCTACTGTATTATTATGAGAATTTTTGGATATTTGGATTTCCAACAGTGACCATTACAAGTTTTGCCAGCATGCACATGACATTTTTTTAATTAACTCCTAACGGGCACAGTGGAGCTCTTAGGAGGAGTTGGCTTTACTTTGTGTAATGTACAGCTACCTGTATCCCCACAGATGTATCCATGAATGATTGGAAATAGAAAACATTTGATTTTACACATTTACTGCATGAACTGTCTCTTTCTTTTTTTTTCTTCATGTGGGCGTCTCTGCAGCAGCACATTAGTAACTGAACTCTACATGATTTTATCCGGGGTCTCAACCCCCGGTCTGCGGACTGGTGTGAACTCTACATGATTTTATCAGGGGTCCCAACAGGTCATTTGGTGCCAAGACAGAAAGAACTTCAGTTTTATTAATTTACTTCATTATTGAATCCAGTCATGGGTCATTTGGTGCCGGGCCGCAGTGGGAGACAAAAAAAAAATTTAACTTCAGTTTTATTAATTTACTTCATGAATGAATCCAGTCATATCCCTTTACTTTATTTCATTAAAAATTTAATCTGGCACTCGGTGGCATTGAACCTTCGCACATTAATACGACCATCAAAGTCTCCAAGAAACCAATGTTTACACTTCAACACACATTATTATCACAGCCAGACACGTCCCTTCACAAGAGGAGGACAAGTCCAAGGAACGGTCTCACATCAGAGGAGCTTTAAAGACCGGCGGCTACCACGACTGGGCCTTGTCCAAAGCCACCAAAACCAACCAGAGGAACAGAGAGGAGAAC